AGCATCAGAGGTGTGATTAGACTCCAGGTCCTCTCAGTTGTCATTCTACTACACTACTGTTCCAAAGACCTTGGACTTAATGGAGGGGTCCTATGGAGTTCTGGAGCTTGATGTAATCATCACAATGTTCTCTACAAAAGGAGATGTTTGGAGAAATTTGACATCAATGGAGAATCCCACTTTCACTTAGACTTTGTACAGAACATAAAAATAGATAGCATTTATATAGCTAAATCTTAACATCATTTATAGATGAGGAAACTGAGGCTGAAAGTGACTTGCCTATGGTCACATAGCTAGTAAGTGTCTGAGGCAGGATTTGAACTCATCTCTGACTCTAGTTACTGTGCCGCCTAGCTGCTGAGACCCTGGTAAGTGATTTTGGTGAGTACAGGACTCCCTGTTTTGTGATTTGATGATGTTCAGGGAATGTTTGAACAGTCATTTATTGTCACATATGTCCTAAAATCTATGAGTTTAACATATGTGAATTATTTTATTTGAGACATTTAAAACTGCTTTTTGCTTCACCTACTCAGATGATTTTATGAAATTAGCCAAAAAGAGACACTGTATATTCAACTAGTAGCCTATGAAGATGTAGTCTCTTGTAGGAAATCATCAGACTGTAAAAACCTGTCTCTTCTATTCTCGTGCTTTCATCAAAGTTACTCTCTATATGTATATATAGTCTTTTTTTAAAAAAAAAATCAAAACGAGAATGTAAGCATATAACGTGGTAGCTACTGCTTCTTCCCCCCTAGTCATTAAACAAGTCAATAAGACTCTCAGTGAGGGCTAAAGTACTTAATGTCTGGGACAGCTGGCCTGGGCATCAGAGGTCTTTTCCTCCTACTTTTGGTTTGTGGGCTATATTCTGAAGGTACGGAAGTTGCTAAAAGCCCAACCTCTCCATAAAGATGTCGTGTATAGGCTAGCAGACTGGGGAGCTGGGGAATGCTCTCTCACCAAGAGGTCCCAGCTTTTGGCTCACATTAACTCACTGGGAGTTAGCCATGGGAGTAATTTAGCCCCAAAGAGAGGAACCAGGCTTTTCTTATACACTCTGGCTTGGTATATATACCCACCCTACCTCCAACACTCAGAGTAGAATTCCAGGTCTGATAAACAAAGCTTAGATGGGTTTGTGTGTAAGGTTTCCCAAAAGAGGACTTATCAGGGTTGTTTCTACAAAGGAACTCAATGTACAAAGAGGATTAGGTATATGATAGTCATTTATTTCTCTACAAAAGAAATACTTAAAACACAAAAGACTCATTGATGTACATTGACAAACAGCTATTAAAACATAAGCTATAATTCCTATTACAGGATTGATACTTAAAATACCAAAATACAAAACGTTTTCAGGGATAGGTAGAGAGCTATTTCTCTTTCACTTTTGCTCTGAATTATCCAACCAACTCCCCCAAGGTCCTCATCTCCCACAAAACCAGCCAATGGCTTGGGCTCTTCTGCCTGCCAGAGGTCATCTCTGAGCAGAATATAATCACAGAAAACTTCCTCCTACTGCCAGTCAGTTCTGACTCAGGGACTCCCATACTCTCGAAGGAGCCACTCCTGAAAAGTTCATCCTTCATGATTTCTGTTGGTCCCATGTCCTCAGGGAAAGAAACACAAAACAGAAGAGGCAGCCAGAGACCTGAGGTAGAGTTTCAGGTTCCCCTAGATGGACATATGCTCTTTCTATCATGCATGATCAGCTTCCAAAGGATAAGAGAATAGAAGCCCCTCCCTACCTCATGGGAAAGTGTCAACATGCTGGGCAGATGGGAAGAGGAGTGACCGTGGAAGTGATTTCTCTTCCTTATGGGTGATTCTTGTCCTCTTGGACATACCACAGGTAAGAGGTCTAAGGAGCTAATAAGGACATCATATCATCATCACAAAGCTTAACACCTTCAGGGTAAAGCCATAGATTATGACTAGAAGTGTTCAGGGGACCTCATTTCAACTTCATACATGTTCCATGGGAGGGCACCCATTCATGAATCTCCATCACTGCCTCCCATCACCTGTCCTAACAACTACATTAAGGACTTTCTTAGGATCATACATTTCGAAATGGCCAAGAGTTAGGCCAAGAACCTTAGACCAAGAGTTCTTAACCCTTATTGTGTCATGACCCCCCTTTAACAGTTTGGTGAAACCTATGGACCTCTTTTCAAAGTTATATTTTTGAATACAAAAAATAAAACACAGAGAATTATAAAGGAGACAAGTTATATTGAGATATAGTTATCAAAATATTAAAAAAAAACAAGTTTATGGAATGCAGGCTAAGAAACTCTTATTTGGCCAACATCTTTCCCCCTATCCCCTTAAGCGGCATAGCAAGGATCCAATCTCACATTCTCTGACTTTGAATTTGGTATCTTTTCCATCGCATCACACTGTATTTTAGGAGTCAAAGTACGAGGCTTAAGAGTCAGGAAGACCTGGGTTCAGATGCTGACTGATGACTTTGGCTAAGCCTCTTTAAGGCTGCTTTCCCATTTACAAAATCCTTGAAAATGCTACCTATGATACAGAATTGCTGGGGATGGTGTGAGTCTGAACAGCAAAGTTTAAATCTCTATACAGATGCCACTAATTTATTAACTACCTTAAATTAGTATTATTTATTCCATTTTAAAAGAAAACAATAGAGATGAAATTCTTCTTGCCCAGAAAACCCCCATAATGTGCATCATTGACCCCATCTTCTCCTGTTTTTTTCCAGCATGTTGCCTTCTCTGTCATCCCCTTTCTGTCACTGAACTTCAGCTATTTTTCTATATAATGGATCCTCTGTTGAAGCCCATGTCTTTCTCCTTCCAAGAAAACCTCATTTGGTTAGCCTTGGTAGATACCATTCTACATCTCTTCTCCCTTGCCTACACTCCTTGAGAAAGCTGTTTACAGTAGGTGCCATCACTTCCTCTACTCACATGTGCTTCCAAATCCTTTGCTATCTGAGTATCACACTCATCATTCAACTGAAAACTGCTTGCTCCAAAGTTGCTAAGGATTTCTTAATTGTCAAATCTAATGGCCTTTCCCAGCACAGCAAGGGGGTGCCATAGTGCATAGAGTGCTGGGCCTAGAGTCAGGAAGACTCATCTTCCGGAGTTCAAATCTGCCTTCAGATACTTACTAGCTGTGTGATCCTGAGCAAGTCACTTAACCTTGTTTGCCTCAGTTTCCTCATCTGTAAAATGAGCTGGAGAAGGAAATGGCAAACCATTTCAGTACCATTTCCAAGAAAACCCCAATAGGGTCATGAAGAGTTGGACGTGGCTGAAAAATGGCTCACCCACAACAAAATGGCCTTTTCCAACCCTCACTCTTCCTGAGCTCCCTTTCTGCTAACTGCGAAACTCCTCATTGCCCTCTCCTCCTAGCTGCTTCCTCCTCTCTGAGCTTTTGTGGCACTACTCTCTCCTGGTTCTCCTCTTCTTACCTATCTCACTGCTCTTTCTTTTCCTTCTAAGATCTTCATTCAGGGCACGGCCACCAACAGGTCTTTAATGACTCACTCAGTGATGTTATTAGCTACTATGGGTTCAGTGATCCTCTCTAGACAGGTTATGCCCAGATCTACCTATCCAGTCATAGTTTCTCTGCTGATCTTCACTCCTGCACCACCATCTGCCTTTGGAGCCTCTCAAAGGGGATGTTCTGCAGGCTTCTCAAAAATCAACATGTACAAAAAATAATTCGTAATCTTTCCCTACCCACCATGCCCTAACTTTCCTCTCTTCTGAACTTTCTTGTAACTGGTGAAGGAAACACCACCATCCTACTGGGCATCCAGGCTTACAACCTCAGGGTCATATTTGACTTCTCCCTCCCACTCATGCCACAGATCAATCCAATCCATTGCCGGATCTTGCTCATTTCTTTTTTCATAACATCTCTTGTCTAAGTCCCCTTCTCACCATTCACACCGACACTACCCTAGTGCAGGTCCTCACCACCTCCAGCCTGGATGTTTGCAATGGCTTTCTGGTTGGTCCCCCTGCTTCCAGTCTCTCTCCATATTAATCCAGCCCTGATTTAGGTGCCAAAGTGATTTTCTGAAAGTTCAGGTTGGAGCATGTCATCTCTAACTCAACAAGCTCTAGTGATTCTTTGTTACTTTCAGGATAGTTCTCTGTTTGGAATTGAGCTCTCTCCCTTTCTTTTCTTCTTACATTTTCCTCATTTTCACATACTATATTGTCCTGCTACATTGGCCTCACACATGACATGCTATCTACCAGGTCCAGGCTTTTGCACTGGTGATCCCTATGTATTCACTCTTCCTCCTCACCTCCACCTCCTTGAGTGAGTCCTCCTTTGAGACTCAGCTCAAAGCTCACAGTCTCTCAAGAGGTCTTTCCTTGTCCTGCCCTACCTCCCCACTGCTAGCACCTTCCTTTTGAGATGTCCTTCCACTTACACTACAAAGATCTTATACAAAAGTAGTTACTTGCATGTTGTCTCTTCCATGAAAATGTGAGCTCCTTGAAGGCAGGGATTGCACATATTTCCTTTGTATTCCCAGAGTTTAGCACAGTGTCTGACACCTGTGTGAATGCTTAATAAAAGCATTTGTGATGAAATCCATTTTTATCAAGCCCTTCTTTCAAGGTATAAGTAATTTAGTCTTCTCAACTAAGGAAAGCTATCAGAAAGTAGCATGAGTTATAAGCTACTGTGATATATTACTTTAATATTGAAAAGTAATTTTCCAGCTGTATACTTACCATACAGCGCTCTAGTGTATATCACATATAAAATGTTCACTTGCCAACTTGCAAGGTCATCCTCATTTTTGTGAAAACCCAAGAGTCATCAATGAGCTATAAACTCCACTCCATATTCTTTATGAATATATGACTTAGAACATTATGAGTTATAGTCTATATTTTCAGCCTCACATTTCACAATTGGGCAAATTTTTCCTGAACAGTTACCAAAAAGCAAACAGAGTAATGAAAGCCCAGTCACATGTATACATACACACACCATACAAGGAAGTCTTTAATATAATTTAATGTATATGAACACACTTTAGTCAATTTTGGCCATAATTTAGAATTATATGTCTTTGAAATGACTGTGACATGTGTTTTAATATTTAAAAGGAATTTTCCAGCTGTGTGCTTATCATATAGTACTCTAGTCTATATCACATAGAAAAGGTTCACTTGCCAGTTTGCAGGGTCATCCTCATGTTTGTGAAAACCCAAAAGTCATTAATGATTTTTAAACTCTATCTTATATTCTCTATAAATACATGAGTTAGAGCTCTATGAGTTATGGTCTATATTCTCAGCCTCTCATTTAGCAAGTAGGCATCTTTTTCTTGACAGTTGCCAAAAATCAAACAAAATAATGAGAGCCTGGTCACATGTAGCATACCATACAAGGAGGTCTTTAATATAATTTAATGTGTATGAACACACTCCAGTCCATTGTGGTGATAATTTAGAAATATGTCTTTGAAATGACTGTGATGTGTATTTTAACATTTAAAAGTAATTTTCCAGCTGTGTACTTATCATACAGAGCTCTAGTCTATATCACATATAAAATGTGTTAGAATTTTTTTTTACAATATCCATGAGAAATAAAAATGGAGGTAGATTAAGAAACAGACCTATTGACCCTTGTAAGGAATTGCTTAAAAAATTATTGTTGATGACAACAACTATAAATAACAATAATAACCACCACAAGCCCCAAACTCATGTTATGTTTCCAGATTTTTTGTGTTTTGAAAGTCAGCTCTGGAAAACAATAAATAGGAGGTCAGGGACAGCTTTGTGAACTTCAGATGAGGTCCTTTACCAGATGTCATGCTGCCTATACACGAGTCCCTTCAGGTCAAAGGAGCTAGAAAGTCAGTAATGCTGGGAAAGGTCTACCTGTAGATATTGCAGTTTACTAGGTGCCTATGGGTCTTTGGTCCTCTGGAGTTTTAGCAGAATAACAGATCACAGAAGTGCACTTACCAACTTGCAAAATCATCCTCATTTTTACGAAAACCTGAATCATCAATGACCTATAAATTCCACTCAGTGAAACTGAATTTCTTTGCAACATAAAGAATGTGTCTGTTTTTAAAAAAGTGTTTGCAGTCTTTATTTCCCATTTCATTTGTCAATTCTTGCAAGAGTTAGTTCACAAAGTTCAAGCTAAGGAAGAAGTTTTAAATTCACACTGTCCAAAATGCATCTCTAACTTTGAAAAAAAAATGAGTACTACTCTGGCCATCTAATTTTCAGGATACATAGTGCCCCAATTCTAATATGAAGGCAACTTCACCTCTTCCTGTGGAGATGAAATTTCCTGGTCAGATGATTTTCTACAAGCTTGAAGTTCCTATATTAATGCATGTACCTACAATATTCAGGCACTCATTAAGTATGCAAATACTTTCACTTGACCAAAGTGTTCGATCCATGGGTGTTTCTTACACTACACTGTTGTCTCTGTCTTTACTATCATTTTATTTTGAAGATGTTTTCGTATAAAAGCCTTCTCTGTACTGAATCTGAAAAGTAAAAAAAAAAAAAAGAAGAAAAGGAAAAATACTTCAATGTGCTTTGGCTTGGCAGCAAAACCAAAGGAACTTAACATAAGAATTTCTACTCACTTTGTGATTATTTTTTGAATCTCTCGTGCTTCTTCATCATTTAATCTTTGAAGGATTGATTCCAAGAAAGAAAGGTGACAGTGAATGTATTCAGCCACCTAAGAAAGGGAGAGACAAAATCGAACATATTTGTGAGAAGCACTGAGTCTCAAAGAAAACAAAGAAAGATTCTGGAGGATGCCGTCTCATACATCACTGCTGATTTCTTCCGCGTCTTTGTCCATAAGGAAAATCCTGGCATTCCTCTGTGAGGGACCTTGCAAAAGCCTCTGAAATAAGGGAATGTCTGTCTTCTTTAGCCGTCTCTTTTCTGAAAATAAAAACAAAGACTGAAGAACAGGCAAGCAAGTTAAGCAGAATGTGGTACAAGAATGTTAATGTTAACCATGCCATAAAAATGATGAATATGAAGAATTTAGAAAAGTAGGGGAAGACTTATATGAACTGATGCAGAGAGAAGTATGCAGAAGTAGGAAAACAGTATAAACGATGGCTTCTTTTAAGTCCCAACTTTACTGGAAGCCTTCCTCAACCCCTCTAAATCCCAGGGCCTTCTTTCTATTAATGATTTCTTATTTATCCTATACTTAGTTTGCTTTGTATATGTTTGTGGGAATGTTATCTCCCCACTAGAATTTAAGTTCTTTGAGGGCAGGGACCGTATATTGCCTCTTTTTGTATTCCCAGAACTTAACACAGTGCCTGGTACATAGTAGATGCTTAACAAATGTTTACTGATTGATTGATATAACATTAGAGCTGAAAAGGACTAAAAATGATCCAAGCTAAACACTAGGTAATTGTAATGATAAGTACCAAATACTCTCTTGTCCTTTATGTTATCAAATTTCTAGGAGTATCTGGAATCCTAGGTTGCCCTAAATATAAGATGGTGGCACAAAAAAATGCCAATTCCTTCCATTTTTAACAGAATGAAACAACTTTGCCATCTGACTTTCTCACTGGTTAAAATAAAAACAAAAACAAAAAAACCCCAACATTCTCTAAAGGAAGGGCCCATGAAAAGAATCAGATGACTTAAATTACCTCCTTTTCTTACCTCCAGTTGCATAGATAATATAAAGAGCAAAATCCTGGGGATTGTTTTCAATCTGTTAAAGAAAAATAAACAATCGTGACTTTCCGTTGTGTAAAAATGCATTGGTTAGCTGTCATGCATCAGTGTTGAGCTCCTTGTTCTATGCTGGAGGTGAGCCTGAGGCTGTGGGTACAAGGCGGCTCATACAGTCAGCTGTGTCAGAGAGGGTGTTGCACCGTGACCTCATCTGCTACTGTCAGGAAAAGCCCAAGGATTTGTTAAGACTAATAGGAAGAAAATCCAAAGCTTAATTTTCTGAATAATATCATCATCATCATCATCATCATCATCTTCATCTTCTTCTTCTTCTTCCTTTTCCTCCCCCTCCTCCTCCTTTCTCCTGAAAATTCTAGAAGGTAGTAGTAGAAGTAGTAGTAATACTAGTAGTAGTAGTAGAAGAAGAAGATGAAGGACTACTACTACTACTACTACTACTACTACTACTACTACTACTACTACTACCACCACCACCACAACCACCACCTTCTAGAATTTTCAGGAGAAAGGTTTTGCTTCATTTTTTTCCCCATTGGTTAAGATAAGGTAAAGCAAATGGGGCTTTACTTTTAACAGATATGACTAGTAAAGGTAGGGGCCTTGGTAGGAAGGCAGGGGACTAGACAGAGAAAGGTGACAGTGCTTCCTATCTTTTGCTCCAACTCCAAATCATTTGGGTGCTAAGTCAGAGAAAATCTTAGGAATGTGTAAGGTCATAAGCTAGATAGTTTGCAGTAACCCTGGACTTTGGCCTACCTTGAACCTGAAGTCTAAAAGTCTTCCCCTTAGCTTGGGAGAACTCTGCTTGTATACCTGGACATAGCTCCCCTGGCTTCCTTTAAGGACCAACTAAAATCTCACTTCACCTTTCCAGATATCTGTTCCATTGATACATTATCTCCAATTTATCCTGGATAAATCTTGTTCGCACAAAAATTGCTTGCATGTTGACTCACCCTTTAGACTATGAGCTCCTTGACAGCAAGGACTATCTTTTGGGGAAAGAGAAGGGAAAGAAATAAGCATTTATGTAGCATCTACTTTGTACCATGAACTGTGATAAGTATACAAATATTATCTCATTTGAACCTCACAACAACCCTACAAGGTAGATGCTATTATTATCTCCATTTAACAGCTGAGGAAAATGAGGCAGGTAGCAATTAAGTGACTTGCCCAGAGTCACATAGTTAAGTGTCTGAGATCACATTCAAACTCGGGTCTTCCTGATTCCAGGCTACTGCCCTACCAGCTGCTTTTTTTATACTCTTAGGACAGTGCCTGGCACATAGTAGGCATTTAATAAATGCTTACTGAGTGACTGGTGCAATGACTGAAAAGCAATTGGCCTCCTCTTATCAGGAAGAGATTCTAGCTACTATGCCCTGGCAGCTTAGAGACAAAAGAAGAGGCCAAAAGCTGGCAGCAGACATCATTGCTCAGTAGAGACTTTGCACCTAGAAGGTATAAGCCACCGCATGAGATGGTGAGATCAAGGCATAGCTGAAACCACGTGCCTAGCACTCACCATGACACTAGTGGGGAATAGTGGAAATTCTTGTTTGTTGCTCTTTGTCTTGAAGAAGACCAACGACCTCACGAGGGTGACGTCTGACTTGCTGTGACCTAGATTTAAGTGGGGCAGAGCTGTGTGAAGTTATCAGCCCCATTCTCTTCTGGAGAGTCAGCAGAGTTCAGTGGCAAGACGAAAGTCAAGATGACTGGTGATGGTCCACCACCCTCAAGGAGAAGTAGGCCCATTGAGAGCAATGCAATGGCATCATTAAAAAGATATCAGTGTTCTTGGGGTGGGGGCAGGGAAGGCAGGCGTAACTTACCCTTCTTGCCCACTAACTTCCTTTTGCATGTACTTCCCATTTGCCACCTGTATATAAATGCCACCCTTCCAACTGATGGTGTATTTTTAACATAGTGTGCCCTAGTTAATAGTCTATTGCTACTTTTTTGCTATGCTCTTTCATTATCTGACTTTGCTTTGAACAAATTACATCCTCTGCTTAGTGGGAGAAAAGGTAATTACATTAACAGGATACTGGGAGTAGATAGAGACTGATGCCACAGAGATGATGTAGAGAAATAGAGACAGAGACTAGAGGACGGTTCCCAGATCACTGAATGTAGTAGACCCACTACTAAAGGATGCAGTTCCTTTAGCCTGGGGTAACTATTTTTGGAGCCCCAAGTACCAGAGAGGGGTGACCCAAGTACTAGCAGAATCCTTTATGATTTCCCCATGATTTGTCTGTAATAATCATCTCGTAAGTCTCTCTATAGTGAATAGTGGTACAATCCTTTAAAAATGATAAAAGGAGGTTAGACCATTTTTCAGGAAGCAGAGCAAGGATGGAAAGGGAAAGCCTATATCTTCACCTGCCCATAAGAACCAGGGCAAATGGAAACCCAGACCTAGAGAAGCAAGGCTGGCAATGGGCGAAGCCCTGAGCTTGTCGATTGTAGAAATAGTAATGGCGGAGATTGCACTGGATTTTGCACCGAAGTAACCAAAGAGATAGACTAGTGATTTCCACTTGAGTTCAGAAGGAAAGATTACCTTGAATTTTTGTTTGTTTGTTTTCTAGGCAATTGGGGTTAAGTGACTTGCCCAGGGTCACACAGCTAGTAAGTGTCAAGTGTTTCATCTGAGGACAGAATTGAACTCATGTCCTCCCAAAGTCAGGGCCGGTGATCTATCCACTGTGCTGCCTAGCTGCCTCTTACCTTGAATTTTTGTAGAAGCTGCTTTATTACTTCTTCTGTTCTCATGTTACTGTTAATTCTCACTTTGGTTTGGGATCCAAAGGCTGGTGTAAAAATTGATGTCTGGAAGAAGGAAATAAATATTATAGCCACATTCTAAGACCTGATTCTTCTATTTGCAGGCTAAACTTTAGGCCCCAGAGCATCAGCAACAGAAAGTTTTGGGTGTAAAATAATAGAGTGGACCATGGCCTGCATCTGTGAATGTCTGGTAGAGTTCTTCAAGATCCTACTATATTAATTGATTATTGATTTTTAATTTTTTATAGCTTTTATTTTTGTAACACCTTCAGTTCCTGAATATATGCCTCCCCTTCCCCATCCCTTGTAATGGACAATAAAACAAAAAAAGAAGGGAAAAAGCAATTGACCCAAACCACCCAACACATCAGTTGAGTGTGATAGAATATGAATGGTTCATACCCACAAGCCCCAATTTTGTAAAGAAGGGAGGGAGGAGCATTTTCTTTTCTCTTCTTTATGGTCTAACTTGGTTTTTGTGCTCTGCCCAGGAAATCTATATGTCTTTCTATGGTTAATGCTATTCATTACCTGGTTAATTTGACCTCAGAAGCCTTCCATATTTTATTCACATGCCTAGCGTTCCTAGGTTCAAAATTTGGGTGGGGGGGTTGGTTTCAAATGAGAGGAGAAGAAAATGATGCCACAGGTTAAATTTCTAGGATAGGGCTTTGTTCCCTAAATTAAATTTCATATTACAGGGCATTACCAATAATGATTTATATGTCAACAGTGACATAAAAGACACCATCAAGGACATGAATGGGCAGAGAAAGAGGTGAGCTAATGATTTATTAAGGAGAAGGGGCAATGATGAACAGCCTGAACACTGCATAGAGAAATGATGGAGAGAGATGGAGATGGCTGAAAGCATAGACAAATAACAATAATTAGACAGGCAGAAAGACAGGCAGAAATATAGACAGACAAAGTTCTTTGCAGATTGGAATTGCTTCATTCATTGAATTTGTATCCTCGGTACCTAGAATAATGCCTGGCGTGTAATAGTCATTTAACAAATATTTTTTGATGAGTTAATTTTGTGTGTGTGTGTGTGTGTGTGTGTGTGTGTGTGTGTGTGTGTGTGTGTGTATGTATGTATGTATGGATTGGTAGATAGGAAGAAATAAGAGGAGAACAGGAGAGATGGAGGGAGGGAAAGAGAGATGATGAGAAGAGAAAAAATGAAGAGAGAGGGAAAGAAGGGGAGAGGAAGGAGAGAAGAGAGACAGAGAAACAGAGACAGATGGGGAAACAGAGAGACAGACAAAGACAACATGCAGGGGTAGGGAACCTTGAGGCCACAACCCTCTTCCCATCCCTGGACTAGAGGATGGTCCCCAGACCACTGAGTAGAATCTCTATATAGGATTTTGGGAAAGATACAGAAAGAATGTCATAGGATGGAAAGGTATGGATTGACTTTGTTCTACACTGGGAGGAGGAAGATCCTTGTTCTTGAGCTGGAAGGGGCCCCAAAGGCCATCTATTTTACAGATGAGGCAATTGAGGCCCAGAGTAGGGTATCTCAGCAGCCATATACAATCCCTATTCCAAGGCACCTGAAGTTAGCTGAAATGGATATTACAAAATTTTAAGAGATTAGAAACTCACTATATATGCTTGATCAGTATGTAAAGAATCATATATTCAGTTAATTATAACTAGACTGGGTGCCCAGTATGACATTTTCATAGTCTATGCTACACTGTATTATAACTAGGAAGCAATGTATGTAATTTCCTATTTATTCTGTACATAGCTTGCTTCTATGTATATTTGTATGTTACTAGATTGTGAACCCCCTGAGGGCAAGGACTGTCTTTTACTTTTCTTTGCATCTCAAGCTCTTAGCACAGTGTGCAGCACATAGTTAGGTGCTCCATAAATGCTTATTGGGCCACTGAGATCTGCTGACTGGAACGGAATATTTTGCCTTGGTAGTTTTTGCCTCACAGAGGTAGCTTGGTGGGGTGGATAGAATATTGGACCTGGAGTCAGACCTGAGTTCAAATCCTACCTTTCACACTTATTAGCTGTGTGACGCTGGACAAGCCTGTCTGAGCCTTAGTTTTCTCATCTGGAAAACGGGCAGATTGGACTCTATGACTTCTAAGATCCTTTCTAGCTCCGAATCTACAACCGATGAGCCACGATCCACGTACCCCTGTAGATGGAGCTGTGTTTTCAAGAGATGGTGCTGCTGTTTTCTTGGCTTGTTATATACATCATCTCTTACCATAGCCTCTCAAATCTCTTCCAGGGCAGGGAGAAAAATATTTTTCAAATGAAAAAGACCATTAGATGGTGAGCTCCTTGAGATCATAAATTGTCTTTTCCCTTTTTTTGCATCCCCACTGCTTAGAACAGTGTGAGCACATAGTAGGTGCTTAATGGATGCTATTTGACTGACTGAAAGTACTATATAAATATTGTACAAAGAGTAAAAAGGTTGAGACTATGATAGGCTGTCATTGTAAATCGTGGGAGGGTCAAATGGGGAACAATTTGGAGAAACATTCTTGAACTGGGAGTAAGTCCAAGTTGAGCAAAAAAAAAAACCAAGGGAATATGGAAAGGAAATTTCCATTCCTTTAGACTTCAGAAGAAATGCTGCCTGAATGATTCCAAGGGTAGAAAGACAAAGAGTCAGATTAGAATAGCTGTTGGGAAATAATAACAAATGTCTACATCCTCAGCAATGAGGTTTTGTTCTCCATGCCTTTAGTAAAATGGAGTCTTTCTCCCAAAGCATTTGTTAAAAATCCTATTAAAAACTAGGATAATATTTATATAATGGTAACAACACTGCAAAACAATTTTGAAAGACTTGAAGGACTCAGATCCCCACAATTCCCAATTGTGATTCCAGAGGACCAATAAAAAAGCAGACAATAGCCCTCCTGACAGACAAGTGAGGCATACTGGGTGCAGAATGAGATGGATGTTGTGGAAATGGCCAAAATGGGAATTTGTTTGAATATGGATATCTGTTTGATAGGTTTTCCCTTCCTTTCCTCCTTCCTTCTTTTCCTCTTCTTTCCCCCTTCCCTTTTTCTCTTTGCTCCTTCCATTCCTTCCCTTCCCTTTTCTTTTTTCAATTGGGGGAAGAGGGGAGGTGAGTAGGAGAGAAAATAATCTTTTGTTCATTGAAAAAGCATACAAAAAATATAAAAGTCAGCCAAAAACTCCTATTCAATGACCCATGCTTCATAATCCCTTCCCTGCCCACTGAATTTTAACTCACCTCATGGTTATAGAAGTGGCCATTAATAGACACCCTGTGATGCTGTTGGCCTCTTCTCTCTGTCCTGCCAAGGTTTACCTTCTTTCTCACCAAGGTTGCTTCACTCATCGTTCTGTATAGCAAGGGAGAGTCCGGTTCATCCCCCACCAGAGGCCTCAGGGTGTTGCTGTTATAAGACACATAATCTAAGAAGAATGCAAGATTATTAGCTCGTGTCTGCTTCCCTGCTTCCTGGTTTGTTCCTGGAATCCCTTTCAGGAACATTTTTTTTTAAAAAGGGATATTCCCAAGGATGATCTAGATTTTTAATGTCTGAAATCCAGAGTAATCCTTCCCCCCTCCCCCCCTTCTTCAGGAAGTGATAATTGTGGCCAAACAGACATTTGTTCCTAGAGTCTGTATCCCCAATGCCCACATCACTGAATTTAAGGGGATTTCAGAAAGGGGGGAGGAATAGCATGGAGTCATGAGGTTGAGGAGCTGTTGTTGCTATTCTGAAAAGGTGAGGCTGGGATTATAAGCTAGACTGCTTTAGCAGGAAACTGTGTAAAGGCTGGGGGTGAACGCTTGGTGATCATCCTGAGAGGAGATGAAGAAGCCACAGACGCTGGAGTGGAGCTGCAGCAGCTTTGGGCAGATAATCACTCGCCAGTTGAAGCAGCAGATGGTGGAGTGGGCTGGTGAGATACCCGTACCCCTACTACCATGTACCTGATACCACCATTGCTAGCAGACAAGTGGTCTTTCATTAACTGACTGAACATTCACCTCTTATTTTCACTCTCTCCAAGAGAGGGGAGAGGAGTTTATATTTCCTATAGTGACAGCTGATATTTCAGTTGAATGGTTCCCCAATTGATCTCTATGATTTCCCTTTTTAAAAACTCATTCCCACTTTATAGGTATATCCATATGTATGTGTGTATATATACATGTATATATGCACCCCCCCAGACATACATACATATATATATATATAGATATATATATATATCTATATATATATCTATATATATATATCTTATATATATCTATATATATATATATCTATATATATATCTATATATATATCTATATATATATCTATATATCTATATATATATATATATATAGATATATAGATATATATATAGATATATAGATATATATCTATATATATATAGATACACACACATATATGTGTGTGTATCTATATATCTATGGAGGGAGGGAGAAGAGAGGGAGAGAGAGAGAGAGAGAGAGAGAGAGAGAGAGAGAGAGAGAGAGAGAGAGAGTGAGAGTGTGTGTGTGTGTGTGTGTGTGTGTGTGTGTGTGTGTGTGAATGTTTCAGGTCTACAACACTGAATGGCATAATGACATTTACAGTGATGTGATTGGTAGAGGGAGCAGGTTTGTTTCTCCCTCCAGCTGAAGAAGAATGGAGGGGAAGGCTCTGCATCTAACAAGGGAGAACATCTGAATCCAGATTTTGTTATTGTTGCTTTTGTTGTCATTGTTTGGGCAGATAGTTCTTGGCAATAGATATAAAAAATCTCATATGGAAAACATATGCAGGTTGGAGAAAGGGCATCGTGACCTGCTTGGCCTTGGCAATACTGTAATTGGGCTGTTAACATGGTATTAGCACCAAACACAAGAGTCATCATTCCCTGCGAATGAGACATATTACATCTGAGTCTTATACTACCTCTGGACTTTATTATATGCATGGAACATCTCCATGAGATGTCTGATCTCCTTTTTATATCTCTTCCTGTTATTTTGAAAGTAAACTTTTATTGATATCTTTTTTTTACATTGCCTCACTTTCCCCTTATATCTTTCTCTCTCTTCCTCCCAGACAGCCACACCATATTACAAATAATATCTTACAAGAAGAGAAAATTAAGAGGAAAAAGAAAAGATCATCAAAATTAATTAATACACTGAACTTATCTGAAAATATACGTGATGTTCCACCTAAGTAGACTTTTCACCTCTGCAAAAGATGAGGGAAAGACCTCTTCTGATCCCTCTTTTGACTATACTTGTTCTTTGTAATTTTCATTTTTAATTGTTTTGTGCTTCAGATTATTTTTCAAAGGTTATTTTCTTTCTCTCTTGCCTTTGGGATTTTTAGATCTTACAAAAACCACCTTGGGGATTCCCTACTCCTTCAAAACAGTTATTGATCTTTCCATATTTTTTCTCTCTTCTTTGAACTGAATATTAATTCAGTTTGTTTTCTTTTGAAATAATTTTCTGAATTTTTTCCTTTTTAATATGTATTTATTTTATTTTTAAACTTATGGAATAAAACAATCATTTCCATAACATAGTACAATTTTAAAAAGACGATCGCACATGGAACTGCAAATCTATTCCGTACAACTTGCTATTCCTTTTAAATATATAATAAAGTTATCATGTAAATCTCTTTTTTTCCTTCTTCATCCTTTTCCCCTCCCCATGCTAGAGATGGCTACCATTAGACACAAATAAGCGTGTCTGTGTGTATACACAGACACACACGATATATGTATGTAAAATTATTCCATACATTACTTCTATTTATCAGTTTTCAAAAAAGATTTTCTTGCTTATGTACTTTATAAAAAACACTCCCAATGACAAGAAAGCTCAGTGGCTCTTTAAATCAAAATTTTGTTTGTGTCCCATGGACAATTTCTTCTTTAATAATCAATTCACTGAAGTAATTGTCATCATTTGTCCTTGCTTCTCAAAGAGGATCAATGACATCAAGACAGTGATGTCCTGACTTGAAACTGAATTGGACTGAAGTGAGGCAGGGCTGTGCAAAGTCACCAGCCTCACTGTCTCCTCCAAAGCCATCTGGACCCAGTGGCAATTTATAGATCAGGAAGACTGGAGATGGCCCCGGATGCAGTGGGAGACTTAGGCCTTTTTAAACTAGGTTCTTTCCCACATCTCAGTTTGTCTGAGGTAATACCCATTCAGGGATTAAGGCTAGGTAAGAAATGAGGCCAAAAATGGCCTCTTTTACCTAGTAAAAAAAAAAGTCAAGAGGGTTTCTGGACAAAACAGAAACAATTGCTGTTTACACTCACTCTGAGCCACTGAAACCCAAACAATGACCAAGTGAGGCTTGGGCTGGGACCTATTGTTGGCCAATCAATGAGAACCTGAATGATTTGGGTTTAAGCGTTTAAGTAGCTTTATTTTAATCCTAATGGGCTTCATCAAAGTCTAGTTTTCCAGTGCTGTATTTTAAGAAATCATAAATGAAACTACATGAGGCAAAAGAGTTAATTGTCCCAGTTCTTTTTTTTTTCTTTTTGGTGATGCAATCAGGGTTAAGTGACTTGCCCAGGGTCACACAGCTAATAAGTGTCAAGTGTCTGAGGCTGGATTTAAACTCAGGTCCTCCTAACTCCAAGACTAGAGCTCTATCCTCTGTGCCACCTACCTGCCTCCCCAGTTCTTTTTTTAAATCATAGAATAAATACATAGGGAAGAGGGAAAAAAAAATTCTTGCCCATAAACACCAAGATATCTTACGAGGTTTCACTGATCAAGATTTATATTCCTTTGGGCAGAACACCTGCCGGTAAGGGTATGTTTCTCTATATGGACAGAGGAAAAGAAGAAGAGGAAGAAGAGGGAAAGAAGGAAGGGAGGGAGGGAGGGAGAGGGAGGAAGGAAGGAAGGCCGGCCGGCCACTGAAGTAACAGGATTGTAAATACATTTTTTGGTGGGGGTGTTGCTGCTGGTGCTTATATGTGTGTTGGACTGACCTATTAGATGTTGTTTGTCTAAGTAAATACTGGTTGTTGGCACACGAGTGCATTTATTCAAATTGTTTCTCATGGTCATGGGGTTACTATCTGTTTCATTGCCACCAATTGGCATATATTTACTGCTTCATTTGCCACATATAAATTTTATATAGCACTGTTGCATTGTGTTGTTGCTGCACAATATTGTATGCTTAGGGCTTATGGTAGCAGACCTGGTTTGCTGACTATTCAATCCTGAAAAAGAAAGGGGGCTGAATTGGTTGAAAGATATTATTGTGTTATGGGCATGGAGCTCTTTGGGGACTTCCTGAAATTAGGAGTGGGCACAGAATGTAAGATTAGGCTATTAGAAAAATAAAGAGTCTTAAAAGACGTGGATGAATGCAATGCAATTTATAACAAGCTCGAGCTGGAGGAGGTCATTTAGGTAGAGTTCTGGGAATTTCCAGCTCTATTCAATCATTGAAAAAAATCTTGAAATATGGTTAGTGGGAGACAGTCTGGGTGTTGTTGTTGAGTCCCTTTTTTCAGTTATGTCTGACTCTTCATGACCCCATATGGAGTTTTCTTAGGAAAGATACTGAAGTGGTTTGCTATTTTTCTCTCAGCTTATTTTACAGATGGGGAAACTGAGGTGAACAGGGTTAAGTGACTTGCCCAGGGTCACACAGCTGGCAAATGTCTATGGCCGGATTTGAACTCAAGAAGATGAGTCTTCCTGACTACAGGCTTGGTGCTCTATCCACTGTGCCACCTAGCTGCCCCTTAGTAGAAGATAATACCTGGAAATTAATCAGCGAGCCACTATCTGAAGAGGGAGATGCTTTTAAAAAAATAAGAGCTCTCATGAGTAGGGAAATACTTGGGGAAGAGTAGTTCAGGAAGAACTATTGAGGGAAATCACACACTTAGCAATTACATGGAAGTCTCATGTCTTTATATTATGAATACTTCCTTTGAGAAAAGAATTGGTAGGTACTGGACCAAAGAACATTGCAAAGGATAAAATAGATTATATTTTCACAAACACAAAAAGACTTGATGCTGACGTGGGAGTTGTTCTTGAAATCGGCTATCTGGGTGCACTTAGACCACAAACTTGTCAAGGCAAAGATAAAAAGTTAAGAAAAAGCAAGAAGAAAAAAATAAAAGCAAAAATAAAAAAGATAGGCTTTACAATTGGAAAAACTCTAACCTAAACTATATAAATAAGTAATTAGCAGAGAACATTGAGAAATGAACATAACAAGTGATAATGGCACAAATTGCTATAATTTTATGCTGAAATTTCACTCAGTTTTGAGAAATTATGATTGGACAGTGACAGATATATGTACCAATCCTGCTGAAACAGAGAAAACAGCCAGACAGTGGGTGAAAGTATTAGTAATAATGGCAATGATGATCTCCAAAGCATGGAACAACCACCATCGTAACCAAAATCATGAATACCAGTTTACATTGGCATAGAATCTTTTCCTTTTAAAATTACACATATGCAGACATTATGAGATCAATTGATAAAAGTGGCTTCCAAGTAAACCTTTTGGCTGGTAATGGGTAAAAAAGGCAAATTTCAGGGAATCATGGATTAATCTTTTGCCCTTGCTTCCAAGGAATACCACACATGCCATGGAAGGTATTGACACTGACCTTCTTTGGGATCTTTGGCTTCCTGCACAGAACTCTGTTTCTTCTCCGGCTCACTGATGCGATAGAGGTCATCAAACTCCCCCCAGCGGGTCATACCCCTGAAATAAAGCATTCTTTATGTTAGTGACATCTATGACAGTTATGCTACAGAACACCCTTCACCCATGGCCATACCTTCAGCTGTATACACATTTAGAGAACTTTAATCCTCATAGAGCCCCTGTAGGAAGGGAGGCCAGGACAATCAGGCAGGTGAAAAAAAATGTTAAGGTTAGGTTCAGATGAAATGAGGCCTCAATAATTGTCGTAAGGACTCCTTATAATTTGACCAATAACTAGTAACTGTTGACAGATTGAATGTGTACTTTTTGTTTTGGACTGGTCTTGAGATTTCACTGGTATATAGTATCTTGCCATATGTTGTGAATGTCCAATAAGCAAATTCCCTCTGTCAATGCCATTTGGCACCTGCCTAGTGACCTGCACACACACACACACACACACACACACACACACACACACACACACACACACACACACACACACACACACACGTATATGTATACATGTATATATGTATACACGTATGTGTGTATATGTATGTATACACACATATATGTACACACACACACACATACATACATACCTGGTAAGTATTTAAGTTATTTTTGCCATTTCTCTGCACCAAGAGGCTAAATAACTTGCCTAAGAGTCCACAACCAGTAGGTGTAAGTACTGAGGCTTGAGCTCAGCTCTTCCTTACTCTGAAGCTGACCTCTATCCATTATCCCATGATACCCCTACCATACATAGTAAAATACTGTCTATAAAGAGATCCATGATACTTTGAGCCCTAGATATCTCCTATCTTGTAAAGTCCAAGGAACAGGAGGCTCCAAATGAGTCTTGGATCTGATGGTCTGCAGCACTATACACCCGGCAGAAGCTCAGGAATTATGCTTTCATGTGTATGTGATATTTCTCCTAATGTAATATAAGCTCCTTGAGGGCAGCAATTGTATCATTTTTACCATGATACCCAGTAGTTATTTAATAGATGCTTGCTGATTGATTGATGCTATAAAACAATTCCCTAGGGGAAAAAAAAGATTTGTTTATTAAAGCAGAAGGAGAGTCTTTAGCATTAGATATCTAATTCTCTGGCCAAACCTGGGACAAAGAATTTGGAGAATCTGGAGGCAGAAGGAGGACTATGTGGAGAGTGATGCTGCGTGCGTGGTACTGGCCAGGATTGAGCTGTCTGCTCAACTGCTCTCCCAGAAGTCATTGCAGGCCACCATGAGTGCTACCACCAGTCCCACATGCTCCTAGAAGTCAACCATCTCTATTGTCATCCAGGCCCTTCATCACCTTGTCTGCTTTGTCCACATTCTTCTGGGCATCTAAGCAGCTTGGAAAGCTCATATGATGGAGGCTCCTTCCTCAGTTCATACTTTTACCCTAACCATAATAAGCATGGAACAATTGACAGGAGATTCCATTGTAGTCTCCTGTTCCAAGCCTATGGCTACAACATATGGGTGGGTTCTGGGCTGAAGTATAGTCGAATCTCTTGTAACCAGAGCCTGTGTGGTAAAATCAGGATTTTTCAAGTTGTAGAAACCCAAATGGAGATGTTGCTGAGCAAAAAGGATTTAGCAGTGGCTTTAATCATTCAAGGATTTGTGCTTTTGTTGTGAGCATTCCTTCCATAATACAGATTACAACATCTCTACAACTTAACGGATGGTCTCTAATAGCTGTGGTGGATGAAAAATTTCATTGACTGGTGACCTATGAATCTCCTGAACCAGCCTAGACTTGTCCTTGAACAACAGGCAAGGTTCGTCATCAGACATAGTCTCAGGCATAGAAGAAGAACTTACAAACTGCTGGAAAAGCCTTTGAAAACCCAGGGTCACCTGCTCTCCCTGATGAGGGATTACAGTAGGGTATGGCTACAGCTTGAGTTCCAAGAAAAGGATGAATTGGCAATGTAACAAGGGTCACCTAAAGACCCCCGAGAACTCTTGTCTCTGGAAACTCTTGCTTATTCACCCAGGTTCTGTGCTGGGTGTTTGGGAAAATAAATTATTCAAATTGCAGTCTAAGCCTCAACCAGAAGAATATTCTCTAATTACTTACAGACCATGGAAATAGCAAAACAATTAGTTAAGACACAATAGCCATACAATAAACAAGGAAAATAATTGAGATTAATAGAATAATTCTTAACCACTCCATAAACAAATGGGTATAATTCCTCATAGGTTCTAGAAGTTTTATAATCTAGGCTAGAAAAAGGGGCAGTCACTCAACTAGCATTTATTAAGCACATATGATGTACCAGGTACTATGCTAAGCTCTAGGGATACAAAAAAAGACAAAAAGACAGTCCCTACTGTAATGGAGCTCATATCTAATGGGGGAAACAAATATGATTTTATTGGCAAAGGGAATCCCTGTATGAGGAAACTCCCTCTACCAGTGCAGATTGGAAACATCTTTTCTTTTATAATTTTCGTTGCCTAGAGCAGGACTTCTTAAATTTTTTACACTTATGATGCAGTGTTAGTTGGTGTTACATGGCCTGAGGGCATGCACAGTGCAAAGTGTGCATGCTTTGTGTTTAGAACCAAGACTGCAGTAAAATGGAGTAATATAACATGGGCAAGAGCTGATAGAAACACCTTGGATTCATTACATATTTGATTTTTAATTAATTTTTGGTCATTATGTGTTCAGAAACCTTTTACTGTTGATATATACACACACATATTACACACATACATGTATACTTATACATATATATGTATATGTGTGTGTGTGTGTGTGTGTGTGTGTGTGTGTGTATATATATATATATATATGTGTCTATCTATCTAACTAGAGGTGTGTATAGAAAAGCAGGTTGTTAAACATTTACCAGCATACCCTTGAATGAAGGTAATATGAAAAGATAACAACAAAATATGATTTTTATACAGTCTCACGGGAAATCAGGAGTGGAATACAGCTGCCTCTGAATTCATGGTCCAGTAGTAAAAGCTCAGAGTTTGGTACTGGTTGTTTCATGAGAATCTATAAAAGCCTTTTAGGAAACAAGTAAGAGAGCTGTTACTGACTCCTTTCTCTAGTCTGGGACCATTGGGATTCTCCCAGGACTTCTGCAGTAGCACCACTTCCCAGGCTCCTCTTCTTCCTCTCTTCTTTCACTCTATCTCATCTTTCCTGGTCCTACTCATGGATGCCTTCAACAGTTCTGCTTTTTTTTCTAGACCTCTTTTCCTAGAAGACTTTCCACCAACTGAAGTCTTCTCCTGGTGGCACCAATGCTTCATAGCTAGACACACAGAGTCCTTGGAAATAAAATCCAGGGAATTTCTTCCAATGAGAGAATAGGAAATTAAGTTCTAGGGACTTTTATCCATATAAGGGTGATAACATGATATAGTAGAGAGAATTCTGAACTTGGAGTCAGAATGACTTGGTTTTTAACATAGCCTCAGAAGTTTATGACCTTGGGCAAGTAATTCACTTAACTTTTTTTTGCCCTCAGTTGCCTCATCTGTAGAATGGGGATAATATGTAGTAGATGTTTATTAGACCTCTATTTTATTCTAATCAGTATTCATCAGCTTAATATGATTCCACATGGGGTAGTGATTATAACTTCTGTATATTAGGCCCCAGAGCTGTGAACTGCAGGTAAGTTCACTTACTTAATCATAGGAAACTAACCAGAGGACCTCCACCCTTGTTTTTCCTTGTTATGGTGACCAAGCCCAGTGTGGTAGAGGTGACTCAATTGCATGGAAAATCCCCTAGCTATTTTTGCTGCCCTTCTGTCCCTGGTCATCCTTCTGTTGCCCAACATGGGGAGATGGCTATGAGCACTTAACCATGAAAGTGTTTGGCAGCCTATGGACTGCCTTTCTACTTGGCCCATTGGCCCACATAGATATTTTCACATCTGCTTATCAGCCTGGTACATAGGTTTGCTCATTGGCTTTGTAGGACCTCCTGAAAGGACAAGATAGGTCTGTCAAAGTCTGCTCATCAGCTCATTTGTCAACCAAAGGGATTCTATATTTCATGTAGACTGTCTTGGGGGATTAAGGTCAAGATCTATCCACCAATAAGACTCTGCATTTTACTGTGTCTCTTCTGTGTCACCTGGGTACCAAGTACTATAAAACTAAGGCCCTGGAAGAAGGGGGCATCACAAATCATGAGGGAGATCTGAGATCCACTTCATTAGAGGGGACTGTGAACCCTTTAATAAAGTGCAATTGGCTCAGAGCTCTGCCTCAGTTTCTTCTGTTGTAGGTTCGTCAATTTTGGACCCCATAAACAAGGACTTCTGTCTCACAGGGTTGTTGTGAAATTATAAGCCACAGGTTAGAGAATGGGGCCAGGGTGCTACATGCAGGTCCAATGACAATAGCAAGGAAGGATGACTGAAAGCCTGATAAAAACAACAGACTTCAGACACAAGAACTGAAAAAGACACAGTGGTCTGGGACCATTTAACAGAATGGGAAATAACAGTGCTATACAGTTCAACAGACCTCAAGGCCAATACCAGACTACATAACAGCTCCATATTTTAGATTTCTAAAGATGATTTTGAATAAGCAAACGGTCAATCAATCAGCAAGTACTCATTAGGTACCTGCTGTGTGCCAGGCACTGTGGAGAAAAGTTTAAGTGTGTCCAATGCCTCCTGTCTAAGAAGGTAGGAAAGTCTGCAACATGGTTTAGAAAAATTCTCACGTATTTTATCAAGTTTGGAGTTTCAGTTTTCTACAAAAGCGACATGTAAAATAACTCATTTCTCACATATGCCAGGTAAATTAGGCACTTCCCCATTAACCACTCTTTCTTACCACTCCCTCCCTCAACCATTTTATAACTGAAGTGCAGGGAAGATCAAGAATTTTACCCAAAGTCAAGAAACAGGTTCAGCATCTGAGTCTCCTGCCCACCCCATTCAGCAGCCTTTGTTTCTCTTGCAATATTAATGTGTTGGTCTTAGTAGGACACAAGAAGTTATTGGCAAACAAGATTCTCTCATCATTATGGTGGACTGTGGCTT